AGGTGGGTGTCTAAAGTGGTAGAAAACATGGGAACTCGCCTAGGTGAGCATAAAATAGGACAAAACTATAATCAACCAATGAGATTACAAGCACCACTGCTCGGACAAAATTGATTAAATCCAGTACCAAATGAAGAAGAGAGTCACATGCAAGCAAGCATGAATACGTGACAGGGTCTCTTCTTGTTGGGGGTTGGGTTAGTGACTCTTGGGCTCTTTCAAGGTGATTGATATCTATTTAAAATATCAATCCTTGGGGCCAGGAGTTGGCTCAGAGGGATAAGCGCTTCCCTGGCAAGCCCAAGGGCCTAAGTTCAATCCCTGATTCTGCAAAATAAATTAAATACATAAAAAATAAATAAATAAAATTAGATATCAATCCTTGATGCCCATCCCTAGGGAAGTACATGGCTATATTTGTTTACTCTTTTGTTTTGAGGTCTGGCCCACAGCAGAGAGATTCTATCTCTGCCAAAATTGCAAAGTCACTTTGTCTTCCATATTGCCCTTGAGGGCCTGGCCCTGCCTGACTGCCTATATTATTTCTATCTAATTTAGCTGCCTACAACAGAAGAATCGAGGACGCCTGAGCTGCTAGAAGAAAAACAGATCTTGTTTATGCCCACTAGATTGTAAAAGAAAAAGTAATGAACCCAGTTGATAATTCACTGAAAGTGTGTGATCTGTCACCATAAGGTGGCTGACACCACCCTTTTACATGTCCATTCTGAGGTGACCATGAGCACACAGTGGCAGATGTTAAGAAATCAGGGAATGCATGAGTGTGACTCTCAAAGGAAAAGACGAAGCTGGAGATGCCAACTTGGAAGCCATCATAATTTATAGAACTCAAAGTCATACAATGAACTGTAAGTAGGGAAATGTAGCTCAAGCAAAGGACATAGAGGGGACCGGGGAGATAGCTCAGTAGAATAAGCACTTGCCTGGCAAGTGCAAGGTCCTGAGTTCAATCCCTGGTACCACAAAAAAAAAAAAAAAAAAAAAAAAAAAAAAAAAAACTGTTAAAAAAATAAAATAAATTTAAAAAAATAAATAAAAAGAAAAGGACATAGAATCACACTACAGTGGCTTGTTTCAACCTTCTCATGTCTAGATATGTGTGCTGTACATAATTTTTTCTGTTTTCCATGTAACCCCCTAACTTGCTCTTTGTCCATGTGTTCAGCCTGGAGATTCAACTCTATGGGTAGCCCCTGTGTCTATGACAGTTGGCCATTTTACTGAATGACTGAGATGATTTTTTTTTTACATATAATGTTTAACATTTGTTATACATAAAATGTAATCGGTATCAACCTTAATATTTTCAACAGTTTAGCTTTAAAAAAGCACTTCATTACTTAGCATCCAATTGGATTGGTTTTTAAAAATCTTATAATGATAATCAGACATAACAATGGCCTTGATACACTCTTGGAAGGTAAATAGGAGAAGGCACAGGAGCCTCAGGAAATCCTGGAAGGCTTAGGGTATACCAACCTAAGACTCCCTCAGACTCTTCCCCAAGGCAACAAATGTTTGACTTAGAGTAACGGCTAACACTGAGAGCCTACACAATTCTGGACTATCTTTACAGAAGCTTCAGAGCATGGGTTGAATGGCTCAATATTATCGATTAAAACTAAATTTCCAAAAGATAGGGGTCAAAAATAAGAAAGTAAGGATCTGGGGAGATAGCTCAGTGGAATAAGTGTTTGCCTGGCAAGTGCAAGGTCCTGAATTCAATCCCTGGTACTGAAAAAAATAAAATAAAATAAATCAGAATATAAGGGAGTCGGGATTTGAATGCAGACTAATTTTATTTCCAAGTCCATATTGCTGAGCCAGAATATACTACCTTGTCTAAACTTGAGCAATTGTTGGCAAGTTCTGTTTGCTCCTAATAAAAGCAAACTACAAAGAGGCCTGGAGCTTTCTAAAGCCTTCCTTGAAATGGATAACATGCATACTGTCCCTGATCTGTTTGGTCTTCACTCCATATTTAATGGGGTTAAGTATGGGAGAAACTAAAACAGAGATTTGCCAGGAGGGTGTGGACACAGTGGGGAATATTTTTTGCCAAAGCAATAGGTAAGGAAAGTGAGAATGCTGGTATGGAGAATAACTCCAATGTGAGAACCACAGGTTCTGAGAGCTTTATGTTAAGCACCCTGGCAGGTCTATGCCCAACTCAGAGAATCAAAGAACAGGAAATGCCGATGAGTGCAACAGCTATCAAAACTGACGCCATATACCCTAAGAAGCTACACAAGATATTGATGATGTTGTCAGCACAGGCTAATGGAGCCACCCCATTTTGCTCACAGTATGAGTGGGGGTGAAATTGTAGTAGGAAGCTAAATTAGATAGAAATATTCTAAGAGTCAGACAGGGCCAGGCCCTCCAAGACAATATGGAAGGTAAGGTGACTTTGCAACTTTGGAAGAGACAGACACACCCTTATGGGCCAGATCATGAGACAAAAGAGTCAACAAATACAGTCACATACTTCCCTAGGGATGGGCATCAGAGATTAATATTCTAAATAGATATGAATCACCTTGGAGGGGCCGCTGAGATAGCTAAGTAGAATAAGCGCTTCTCTGGCAAGCACAAGGACCTGAGTTCAATCCCTGACCACAAAACAAAAAAACAAAACAAAACAAAAAATCATCCTGAAAGAGACCTAAAAGAGTCATTAACTCAACCCCTAACAGGAAGAAACCCTGTTCTATATTCACGCCTGCTTGCTACCTGACTCACTTCCCCATTTGGTACTGGATTTAATCAATTTTACCTAAGCAGTGGTGCTTGTAATATCATTAGTTGACCATAGTTTTGTCCACCTCATGCTCACCTAAGCAAGTTCCCACATTCTCCACCACCTAAAATTCATTCTTCACTTTTAGAGAACACGAACACATCCCAGGTACCTTACAGGTGAGGGTTTCATTTTCCCCTATATCAGTGTTGGCCCTGCAGTATAGTCAACACAAATATATTAAAATTAAAAAGAAATAGTCCCAATCACCATCTCCAGATGGCCAGGGCCGTTTTTCCAACTGCCATGAGAGTTAAGATGCTTTTGTGTAGGGCAATGGAGTATAGATGGTTTTCTAAACTGTATTCTACAGGTGAAACTGTCCTAGAGAATGCTCACCTGGGTGTAGTCATGGCTTCTCCACATTTATGCTTCCTTTATAGACAGAATATCTCTGGCAATAATGTCTCAAGGTCCAATACAGGCTACTCCTGCCTCTTCTTGCTGTGCCCCATGAATTTGCTCCATGCCTATGTTTTAGTCCTTCACTGTACCAGGTCCATATAAGTGTTCCTTGCCCCACATGTTCTTGCATTTCTCCCTTCCCCAGGATTTTTCTTTCCTGTGTTTAACTGATTTTCCCTCCTGTTCAACCTCTCTTTACCAAGTTTTAACCTTAAAGCACCTCCTTAGCATACACCACTTTCTGACATGTTCATGACTGTATATCCCCATCCTGAAGACAATGTTTTAATTTGATAATATTTAGTCATATTGCTTATCTGGTCACTATTTTGAACATTTCAAGGGACACTTGCACTTACGGTTCTCTGTGCGTGGAAGTAGCTTCCCAAGTGGAACCTGAGAAGGACATAAGGGTGTACTTACCATTCTGACCTAGACTCCCATCTTCTCTCAAGCCAAGGAGCACCAGGGCAGCAACTGAGGCCTAAAGAGCAATCGCAACTCTTCTCAGCAACTTCCCATGCTCCTTCCCAGATGATTTCATACAAGCAGTACTGGACTGCGTCCAGATCTTTTGCTATTAGTACAAGTTTGTGACACTAAATAATGACATGCGCATGAAGGAGACAACACACACACACAGCGCCTCTGGGTCACTTTTACTGTCCTTCCCCACTACCTCTCTGCCTCCTTCCCCAGATTCCTTTCCCGTCTCCACAGAGTCTGCCTCTCTGCTTCTTCTCTTCTCTTTCATTTGCTCTTTAAAGTACTTCTATTGTGGGTCCCTTGTGTGTGAGAAGCCATGCTGCTAGCCCAGAGAACCCTGAAGCCTCCGGAGAAACCCTTCTGAGTAAAGGAAACCAATGCATTCTGTCCTCCTGCCCTTTCTTGGCTCCACTAACAGCACACACATCCCATACCCTACCCCTACCCCTTACCACACACACCTCTTGTTTCTTAAGCCTCAGGATGCAGCTATCTGTGCTGCTAAAAGGTGTTAAAAATAGTCCCTCTTAAGTTTTCCCACCATTCATGTAACAATTTACTGTCCCGTTATTATGTTTATTAAACCATTTAGAAATAAAATAGTGGTGCAATGTGCCTTTTACTTGTGCACAATATGCATTGATTTCTTTTTTCCCATTCTCTGCTCTCTTCAACCCATCTTCCCTTCCTTACTTACAAAACTGTTTCCATTTTGTCCCTCCTTTTTTGTCTTCCTTTCTCATGTTTTCTTTTAACTCCCTTTCTTTCCCTCTCCCCTCTTCCTAGTTCCCCTTTCCTCCCAATTTATTTCACTATACCGATTACACATTTTGACTATTTATGAAATAAGAATCAAGAAATTGTCTCACATCAGAGAGACAATGCAATATTTACACAGTTGCCCAATTTATTTCTCTCTAGAGTATGGTCTCAAAGCCCATTCATTTAGCTATCAGTCTCAAGCTAATCCTGCTTTATGGCTGAGTAGTACTCCACTGAATTTTTAAAAACTTTTTATTTAAAGACAAAAATATTAAATAAGACATTTAAAATGATACACCTTTTAAAAAATTTTTCTCAATTGTTATTTAGCTTTATTCATAACCATAAACTTGGGTCTTTGGATATGGCTCAGTGGAATAAGCACTTCCCTGGCAAGTGCAAGGGCATGAGTTCAATCCCCGGTTCCACCAAAACAAAACAAACAAACAAACAAAAAACATAATCATAAACTTAACTCTGCAATCCAGGTACATTTGGAGGGAAGCAAGGAAAATATGGAACCCAAAGAGCTACGATAAGAGCAGAGATGATGGGGCGTTTTGAGCAGGGAGGGCGCAGGGTGCTCTTCTGAGCAATACACACAAGTCACACTTGTTAGAGCTGTCCACAGTCGACGATGACGATCTTCTTGCTGGTCTTGCCGTTCCTGGACCCGAAGCGCTCCATGGCCTCCACCGTGTTCATGCCCTCTTTCACCTTCCCGAAGACCACGTGCTTCCCGTCCAACCACTCGAGCTTGGTAGTGCAGATGAAAAACTGGGACCCATTTGTGTTTGGCCCAGCATTTGCCATGGACAGGATGCCCGGGCCTGTGTGCTTCAGGATGAAGTTCTCATCATCAAATTTCTCCCCGTAGATGGACTTGCTGCCTGTGCCATCGTGGCGTGTGAAGTCACCACCCTGGCAAATAAATCTTGGAATAATTCTGTGAAAGCAGGAGCCCTTATAACCAAATCCTTTCTCTCCAGTGCTCAGAGCACGAAAGTTTTCTACTGTCTTTGGAACTATCTCTGCAAATAGCTCGAAAAAGATGCGGCCCAAGGGCTCACCGTCGGCAGCGATATCGAAGAACACAGTGGGGGTGTCCACGGTTGGCAACAAATGACTAAGAGGATGGATAGACGCATCTGCAAAGCACATGATAGACATTTTTTAAAAATAAGATACAAAATTAACAATGGGTGTTACATTGCATATTACTGTACACAAAGTAGTTGCTCAGATGTCAAGTTATAATTATGCAAAATGTCAAAATAAAAATTTTTAACATTAACTGCTCACATAAAAAGTATAGAAAGGTATATCATCTTACCTATCCTGTATATATACATTTATGAGTTTTCCTATCCTTCTTTCTTTTCACTCTTTTCTCATCCCAATTGTTCATTTCCTTTCAGAAGTTTCTTTTCCTTTTACTGTATCTATTGTACCTTTCAGATTTTATTTGTTCAAGTTCTTACACTAGGGAGAAAATATGATGTTTACATATGGAGGTCTGATTTGTTCCCCTTGTGGGTATGACCACTAGTTACATTCAAGTACCTATAAAAGCCTCTACTGTATCTTTCCTTATAGCTGCATCATATTCCATTGTATAAAAATATCACATCATTTTTTATCCATTCCTGAGTTGATAGAGATCTGGGTAGTATCCAAGATATAGCATATCTTTGGTCATATCACATATGACCAAATGTGCTTCCATAACCGTGGGTGCACATGCATCACTGCAGCATTATGCATTTAATTCTTCTGGAAAAAGATCTGGGAGAGGAACAGCTGGTTTGAGAGCAACTTCCAAACCTAGTTTTTTGAGGGATCTCCATACTGATTTCCACAAACCTTATAGCAGTGCACACTACCATCAACAGTGGAAAAGGGTTCTTTTCTCCTCAGAGCCTCTTCTCGATTTGTTATTAGTTGATTTCTGTATGATAGACATTCTTCCTGGGATGAAATGGAATCTTGGTGTTGTCTTAAGTTTTGTTTCTCAAATGACCAATGATGTTGAACACATTTTCATATACTTATTTGCCACATGTATTTTAACATCGGAGAAATATGGCAATGTCTGTATTGGATATATGGCCCTTGGAAGATCAAATTAAAACTAATTACCTAATTTTTATTAATTAGCTGGCAACCTATGTTCTCCCCTCCCCATCTGGGAAGACACAAAAGGCCCAGTTCTTTGTTCCCCACTGCTTCTATAGTTTCTTTGCTGCTATGACAACCAGGCAGGAATGTGGTGCCCGCTATATCCTATAAGTGCTTCATAACAGTAGAAATGTGATTGCCCCTATATCCAATAGATACAAGGTCTCAGACAGAGGGGTTTATGGCTTCGTATGGGCAAATAGTCTGTCTTCTTATTGCCCCAAATAAGTCCTGTCTCCTTCTTATTTCCTACATGATTGTGAAGTTTCTGACAGGGTAGGGAAAGGAGTGAGGAATGGGGTAATTTACGCAAAACTACTTCTATGTAAATACTTCAGGCAGGAGTCAATCTATTATGGAATCCTGCCTCAGTCTCTTCTACTTCTAAAAGTGAATAGGGGACTGGGGAGGTGGTCAGTGGAATAAGTGCTTCCCTGGCAAGCACAAGGACCTGAGTTAAATCCCTGGTTCTGCCAAAAAATAAAAAAATAAAAATAAAAAACAACAACAACAAAAAAGAATAAAAGTGAATGGGAGGGGGGCCAGGAAGATAGCTCAGTAGAATAAGGGCCTGAGTTCAATTTCTGGTTCCATTAAAAAAAAAAAAAAAAAAAA